GAATGCCGGTTTCAGGCACCAAAGAACACTTAATAAATATAGTGATAATGAAAATCAGTAAAATATTGCACAGCACCGGGATCATAGTAACACGAAACATTGTAACTGGATAATTTGGATGAAAAACATGCAAAGACAACAATTTGAGCAGTAACATAATCAGAACTGATTAGGAGTGCATATTAATATGAACAGCGGCCAACAGGCGATGGGTAGTAATTGGAGGTGTACAAACAACCCAAGATCGAAGGATCAAGCATAGTTACGCTCGGCATGTAGGAGCATCCCAGTAGCATCACTGGACTTTGGGCCGGCAATCTTGGTAATGAATAGTAACATGCACAAAACGCTGGTGAATTACGAGAAGCTGTTGTGAAGAGGGTGAAAGGCGGAAAAAATCGGGAAATTAGTTGCGCTTAGGCATATTTTCTTAACTTACCTAGCATATTGAAAGGCATCAAGTTTTTTCTTCTGAATTTAAGAATTGTTCCATTTTTAGACTATAATTTCCGCCAACACCTGCACGCAGATTCAGAATAAAACAGAGGTATGGAAAAAGAAGAAGGGAAATGTTGAATGCACTCTTTTTACCGCAACAACAATTAATAAAAATCCAAAATTTTCCAAACTAATACAAAATGACAATTTGAGCAAAACTATAAACAAAACCGAAAATTTTCACAAAAACCCAAAACATACAAACGCAAACTCTTAGTCGATATTTATTTTTCGTGGTCTAGGAGAAGTAGTAATATTCGGGATGAAGCGATGATGATCAACACGTGAATTAAAGAAATCTCGAAAAAGCTTTTTCAAAGTGCTTTTGTTTGAAATAAAGTTGAAGGAGTTCTTTCAAAATACGAAACAAACGCTAGGTTCACGACCACACTGACCATTAAGAGATAAAGCACTGATCAAAGTATTTAGAAAAAATTTTTAACTGCAAAAGAGGAGGACTCTAGTTGAAAGGATCAGTAGTTGCCTTAAGTATTTCAAGTGATCGCAGCCACAAAAAATAACAAGGTAAGTGTAATTTACACTTGCAGGCAATATTAGTGAATGGAAACAATCACCAACCCAGGCTGGAACGCACCAAGCTCTCCGGTGTGATCAAGCGTTTTTGCACTAAACTCGCAGATCGCTATTAGCAAGAATAATCCCTACGCCGTAGCCTAACACTCGGGCTCATATTGGCCGTGCTTTGATCATTACCGGCATGCAGGAGGAAGGGCATCAGTTGGGATGGAGGTAGTGCATTATAGAGCCACACGGACATCCAGGTGCATGATTACCAGTTTTCTGCATGAAGTCCGGTCGTTTTTTCGGTAAATGCTCGCTTTGTGAAAAAAATGCGAATTTTTTGAAAAAATGCAAATTCCCAGTTCACTAAAAAGTGGAAGTATTGCTCGAGCGACCGTTTGTCAAAAAATGCACGTTCGTTTACACAGACGATTGCGGTTAAGGTCCGAGCTACGAACGAATTTTTTGAAAATATGCAAATTTTCAGTTCACTGAAAAATTGCAAGTATTGCTTGAACGGTAGTTTTTCAAAAAATCCATGTTCATTCGCATATACGATTGCGGTTCAGGTCCGAGTTGCTAACGATTTTTGGGCTCAGGAGCTGCTTGAGGTTGTGGTTGGGGAGCTAGAGAGCTGAGTTTAAAATTTTTATCTCGTACGTGCATAGAGAATATCCCT